TGAGGAAGAAAAACAGGATAAAGAGGAAGAAAACTAGTTCGTTTCTGTACGTTTGTGAGAGGTATTTTTGTTCAATTTGAAGGTATTTCTTTTAGTTAATTAATATTTATATATTTATTTTTCTAATTCAGAAGAGACATTATTTTTTAATCATTATTTCATTCATTATTTTTTAAACCAACCTGTCATAATAAAACATGTTGAGTATCCTCTGAGAAGCTATCTGAATTTGTGTCTTAATATAACAATTTTCTATCCACAGAGGAGGCATAGCCTATTTTAATTGTATTGAAATTAAAAGGCATCTTTGAGTAAACGTGGCCATGTGTCCTGGTTTTTTGGTAATCAAAATATGTTCACCATATGCAGCAACTTTATTAAAATAAAAGTTTTGCCATGGCTTTGCGATTCTCTTTACAAACTTGAATGGACGCATGCTCGTTTAAACACGATTTAAACAACGAATATACAATTCCATGCATATGATGTCTTAAAGTAAAAATATGAAACAATTAAATACCTTTATGGAGAAATTACTACATTTTATTGAATTAAATGCATTTATGGTGAAACTACTACATTTCGAGGTCAATCTGAGTTCATTTTGACCACGAACCGTGCGCTGTCACTTTATTTGTGCGTTTGCAGCACAGCAGAAATAGACTTGGTACGGAAACGATCTCTGCACTGCTGTATACGCACCGCAACTGGAACGGATCGACGGACTGCATCCGCGTGCAGTGTGAAAGCTCTAACCTGTTAACATGGGTACGGAAAAAAATACGGACCGCATACGCACTGCAAACGGAGTATGTGTGAAACGGGCGTCAGACCCTGAGGTAGGGCCGCAGCGACGCGTCGACGTCATCGATTACGTCGACTATAAAAATACGTCGACATGCATGGAAAGCGTCGACGCGTCACATTCATTATTTACGTTTAAATATCGAGTCACGGCAGCTTCTGCTCCAGCTCATGGTGAAAATGACACAAAGTCACACATCACACATATTATCACATAAAACCAGACCACGATCATCCAAAATATGGGAATACTTTAAACTACAGCCGAACAGAAAGGTGCTTTGTTCCCTATGAAAGACCATCATCCTGTCACCGAGAAACATCCTGTGAGACTGCGAACTCAAAACGACGAGCCAGCTAGTAGTAGGCTAATTCCAGTCAGTTTTTGGAGTTGTTGCGGTTATACCTTCTTTTTTCAGCTATTACAGCTTGTATGCTAGGTAATAAGATAATTGCTAACAATGCAGATGTAATTTATTGCCCCATTCGGCGACAATAATGGACTTTCATTTATAACTTCAATCTGTCAACGAAGCTTTATATCAGTGCATTTAAATAGCTAGTTTTTAAAAGTTACGTATGCACATGTAGACTAAAGACCTGCACTCCAGCGGGACCCAACTCAACAGAAAGAATGAGGTACGCGGTATCCCGGTATCTGATGACCGAGTGCGGGCGCAGACCTTAACGCACTTGTGTGTGTGCTGTTTCTGGGAGAATAAAACAATTCGCGGGACTCTCGCAAAATATAAATCTATATATTGAACATCTCAAAACTAGTAAATTGTCATCGGTTGCACAAAAGCAACAAGAACCACTAAAACAAAATAAAAACTATTTACAGGCCAGAGTCCATCTATTTATATCATGTTTGCAGCGTTTAACAATGTAGCCAATCACAGACATATGTGTTGATTTCTTGAATGCATTGGCCAATCGGAAGCATTTAAGATGGAATCTCCTCACGGCTCAAAATGGACTTTTTGTTCAGTGCTGAATTCTGCATATTGGCAAATCGATATTATGAAAGATTCATTGTGCAGTCAGTTTCATTGCTAATAACAGATGTCAGCTTTTTAGGAATTATTAAGGGAGAAATCCGAATCTTTAAAAACAAACGATAACGTTATATTTACATATTAACAGTAGCTTAGGCTGTAATCTAGTGTGTGTGAACCTTTTTATAAAAAAAAACACAAGTGCATTTCAAACAAGTTAATTGAGTAAATCATATTCCCACTATAGTAATTAATTACAGACTATAATAAACACATTTTCTAAATAGGCCTGTGATTGTATACATCGGACATTTTATGATATAGTACCATTAGTTACAAATAAAGTTTAAAATATTTGCATATTTCATTACAAGAGTCTCCATTCTCTCTAGAATCACAACAATCACACACAGACATGGTGAGTCAGTGAAATCAGACACAAAGTTTAATGTCTCTCTTCAAAAGAGTAAAAAAGTCAAAATAATACCAAAGTTGTCGTAAACTAGACTATTACATACAGCGGAAAGAAATTTGTACAACTTGCAGTTCAGGGCTCATATGGATATTTTTTGCATCTGAATTTGTTTGGTCAGTCTTTGCAGTTTGACCAGTGGAGGGCAGCTGAATTGTCTCCGGATTTCTTCAGAGCTCAGCATCTTCCCAGTAGACGAAGAAAACAGTCTATGTTTCACATTACATCACCGCTAGAGCAGCACAATATTGGTAAAAAATGGCATTGCGATATTTTATATTTCCTTAATATATATTGCGATATTACAACAATTTCCCCAGATGACTTGAATTGCTCTATTTGGAAAGAATAAATCATTATAGAATGACCACAAATTTCACAATTTCAAAAATTTGATTCTGATATTGATTCAATATCAATTCCTTTGGATAAATATTAGGTACAGTAGATACGTTAATGTGTTATGTTAATTGTTCTCCAAAAATAAATGACCTAATGCTGTAAACATACAGAGAGCCCTGTCAGCTGGTATTATTAAAGGTTAAAACTAACTCAAATTAAACATAATGCGTTTTTTATAATAACAAACAACTTTACAATATTTTAATGATATAGTTAAAATATAATAAATGTGTAATATACCGGTAGTTATCATATTTAGCAAAATACTCCTCTCTATAGCAATTATTTTAAGTCCAACTAACATGCGTGCTTTGTGCTTTGGTCATTAAAAGGCATTCCTGAGTCAGAGGTAAATGTAACGTTACGTGACACATGTTGTTCTCCAACTTCTCCAGCTGTTTTATGGACATCTTTCCGCGGTTGAAAAACACTGATCGATCGGTTTTATTTCGGTATAGACGAGTCCGGCGAAACTACCGGAAGTAAGCGGGGCGCCATTACTGAGCTGTTGCTGGGTAGCGTTGCGCCATTGCCTCCTATTGTTTTAGTTGCAACTTGCGTCCACTGGAATAAACAGCCCGTGATTTACGACTGTCACTAACGTTGCACCGTTAGCCCTTGTATAATGTGGAGTGGGTAAACAGTTTCCGTTATAAATTGTTTCAATGGTGGCAGTAAAATTTCAATTTTGAAGAAAAAACACTGTGAATACCCCGGGTCGACTGCCCCTGTCTGGAGCCGTACTGTTTACACAGATTTCCTGGGCGAGTACAAGACGCGGAAATTCGCGTATAATAACAATTATTTAATGACATAAAAAAAAAATATAATAAATATGTGATATAGTGATCAGCAAAATCTCCTCTCTTGCTATTTTTTCTATTCAATTAACATGCTATGGTTATTAAATGGCTTTCCTGAGCTAAATGTAAAGTTATGTGACATAATTGTTCTCCTGCTGTTATATTGACCTCTTTCCATGGTTTAAAAACACTAATTGGTCGATATCATGTATACTTTCTAGCTGTAACGTTACCTTACCCTTGCCTGTTGCAATGTGAAAATGAGATAAATAATGGACACAAAGGAAAAACACGAATTTATTTATTTGATTTCATTAATTTATTTATTGTTGCCAAATGGACAGATCTTTTTTAGTTTCCTCAGCAAACGTCATGAGCAAACGTTAGCAGCTAGCTTGCCAACTTGCCAAGCTATTTTCATAAATAATCTTTAAGATCATTTGTACCTTCATCGGTGACTGGAGGCCACTGTCTAACATCATCAACCCAACAAGTCATTCTGCCTGTCTGTAGCTGTCATCGAGGGTGCTTTCGCGTATTCACCGAGGTTTGTTTACATACCGGTGCATATGTACGGTGGCCGAGAAGTGCAAAACAAATCACAATTATAAAAACAAAATAACAATTCAAAAAACACAACGACAATTCAGAAAACATAATAACAATTCAGAAAACACAACGACAATTCAGAAAACATAATAACAATTAAGAAAACACAACGACAATTCAGAAAACACAATAACAATTCAGAAAACACAACGACAATTCAGAAAACACAACAACATTTCAAAGAAAACGGAAAAGGTAGGTACATTTTGAGAATGGCAAACTTATCGCTAATTGGACGAGACACCTGTCAATCAAGCGATTACGGGAAGTACCGACTAGAGAGGTTAGAAAACCGTTTTTGAACGTGTGGTGTGAGTATGTGTGAATATGTATTGTCCTTTCTGTGGATTAAAATATGGCGTCCTACCAAATTTCTGCAATTCATGTGGAAAAAATCTCGAGGTTTTAAAGGAGACACGACAGAAAACGCCCATGCCAAAGACCGTGACAGGTATGGCTAACGACGTTAGCTAGACAGCTTAGCTAAAACCAGAACGTGTCTTTTGGTCTTGACTTGGATTTATAATACCAAGACAAATATTGAATATTAAGCAGTTAGTGTGCGGACAGCGTTGATGTATAGTTTCTTGCATAGGTACAGGTGTAGACTCAACACCTGCGCCCAATTTGAAACAGTTTTTGGAATACCGAAATCTGAAATCGAAGGAAAAAACGAACTTTTCCTTGGGAAAGTAAGGAGGAAGCAAACACGAGCAGAAGAAAGTACAGGTAACGTTACAGTATAAGTGGGTGTTAAGCGATTGTTTGTGAATGGCACTTTTGCTAAAGTGATACAGTTGTTTTTTGTTTTTGTTTTCTTACAGATTAATATCAGTATAATGTGTCTACAGAGTGGCTACTTAAAACCACAACGTGGGAAAACTCCCCTTATTCGTGGACCCACTAATAACTGCGAATGGTCTCCTCATGATGGCTGAAACAAAATTGAAAAACTTCAATAAAGACATGGAAGAAGGACCCTACATACTTCTATACCCAGATGGCTCTGAAGTCATTAATATTCCAGGGACACAAATGCCATTCACCTTGAAAGATTACAAAACAGAAATTGGAAAGCAATATTCAAGGATAAACTTGTTTATTTGCAGACAGAAAGACTTTATAGGTTAGTTAGCTAAAAGTCATGCTTCATTTGTTTAAGCATAGTTAATTTACCATGGTTTTACTTTGTTCTGTGTCTTACAGAACAGGTTCTCAGTTCAGAATCTGACTCCGAAGTTGTCATAACCCGGAAAACTGATGAATCTAGCCTGGCTGACACACTGGTAAGATTAATATTCAATTGTTGAAAACTGAAAAAAACAACAACATTTTTTTACGTTTTTTTTTTTTCAACTATATATATTGTTGTAATTATTATCATTCTTTCAGCCAATAATACCTCAACATACAAGCACGCCACAAGACCGCATGAACAGTAAAATGTAAGATGTTTTCAATCTTGTCATGGCTCATGTTTGCTGTAAAAGCAGAATGAATTGGATATTGTGTATCTAATCTAAAGGGCTGTAGAAGATCTGATTACATCTGTTCACAGTTTATATGTAATCCTTGTTTGTGTGCTGTTTAGTGATTCTACCGTGGAGCCGTCTCAAGGAAGTGGACAAGGACATGTAGAAGAGGTTAGTAGTAACTGTGGTTTGAACCCATTATTCAGGCTAACATTACCTGTGAATTGTTTTTTGGATCTTATAGTTGTCTATTGTTGTGCTTTTAAGAAGCCACTACACAAAAAATAATATAAACTGCCAGCCACAATCCAATTAGAATCTGTTGTGATGCCTTGTATAAAATTACTCTAAGATAGTTATATCATGATAGCTGTTGATGAAGCCTGATTTCTGTTTTAAGATAATGCTCTCAGACTCAGAGGATGACCGTCCAGGTACTTCCGCCCATGTTGCGACGCAGAACTGGTGTTACAGGTTTGTTTGGTTTATTAAATCTTGTGTCATGGAATTTGTACATTTTTATATTTGTGCGTAATGATGATCTCTTATTTGTAGAAAATACATGGAAGTGTATGCACCTGTGACTACTGAAGAAGACGATGAGCTATTAATCACAGCACACGGTCTTGACCTCCCAGTACCAATAGAGTAAGCTAAAAAATGTGTTGATTGTAGAATGTAAGTCTACAAATGCTGATTACATTGATAAATAAATACTTTTACTCTCTTTAGGGAACAAAACAGTGTAACAGCTCCTGATATTATTTTAAATCTGGCCCTTGTTATTGATCGAAAAAGTGTCAGCAGATTCAACATAACGAGATCCAATGTGTGGGATGGGGCAGTCAGAGGATTTAAACGCGTCTCATACTCGGAATTCAATGACATTTTTGTGAAGTTCTCTGATGATGCTGGCTTGTTGGAAGAGGGTCTTGATACAGGGGGACCAAGAAGGGAACTTCTCACTTTACTAATGAGCTGCCTGCAGAATCGGCCCATTTTTGATGGACCTCCCTATAGACGCTACCTGGTATACAATTCAGTTGGTGAGTATTTAAGTTTTGTTTTGTAAAGGAGTTCCTGTTAATGAAAAAAATCATGTGTGTAACAGACATTTTTCACTGTAACCGTTTTATTTAGTGTGTGATTTCCCTTTACTTTCTATGACAGCTGTTAGGGAGGATGAGTATTTCTTGGCAGGGAAAATGATTGCAGTGTCAATAGTGCATGGTGGACCAGGGCCCCATTTTCTTTCTAAAGACCTGGTAAACCACATTGTAGGCCAGCCCTCTTTCAGCGCCACTTTAGAAGATGTCACAGATGAGGGTGTAGTGAAAGTGCTGCGAGAGGTATGGTAATAGACATGTTTTAGGTGATTAGTAAGGTTACTTAAAGTCCCCGTGAAATCAAAATTGAACCTATTTACTTTGTTAGCGCATATTACTAGTCTTGTGGTGAACAATTAATCCGTGTAAGTGAATATATATTAAAAAAATGTTTTACCTTAGTAATCTTTAATCAAAATCTGAAAAGTTACTTCCGGTCTGGAACGGTTTCTTTTTCTGATGACGTAGGCTTCACAGTTTGGGTGGGGAAACGCTTAACTACTCCCCTCAAACCGTTAGTTTACTATGAGCGAGAGATGGAGAGGAGGAGCGCTAGAGTAAAACCCTGCCCTCTGTTCAATATTCCGTTTCACTTGGAAATACGTCACAGCACTGGAGAAAAATCGTTTGCAACTTCCGGTTCAGGGGGACTTTAAATATGTATGACCCTAGAAATAATCAGTAGCAAGTATAAAACAATTCTGCTTTTACATGTTTATTAAGTGGTGAATTATTTCACTTTCAATTCCGATAAGAAAAAAAATCTTTGACATGAAAGCCCATGTACTGTTGTTGATTTCTGTCTTAAGATTCAGATTGCAACTACTTTGGAGTCACTACAAGAACTAATCTTGAAAAACAGCACGCTGCTCCAAACAGCTGGGTGTTTTCGATGCATGAAGAGCATTGAGGAGAAACACAGAATTGTGGAAGAATACGTCAGGTGGTATGTGATGGACAGAAACCACAGTGTTATTAAAAGGTAAAATTGTAAAAAAAAAAAAATTAAATAAATCATACACATTACAACATATCTATAGTCTTTCGATGTTACTTTATTTCACTAAATTATTCACTGTTTATAGCATGAATATTACATTTTCTACAAGCCTGTGACTAAAACAGCCTAAACTCTTGACTGCTTTTATAGATTTAAAGATGGACTTGCCACACTGCAGTTTCTGACAGCACTTAAGCAGCATCCAAGTGTTTTGGCTTCCTACCTCTGCCACACTGACAAGAAGCTGACCGCGAGCGATTTGGAAAGCCTCTTCAAAGCAGAACTCAGCCCAGTGGGTAGTAAACAGAGGCAAGAGGAATCCAAGACGCTTTGCTTTTGGTCAGACTATCTCCTCGACTGTGAAGGTTTGTTATTTAGTTTAACAAACAATGTTATGTTTTCGGTTAATTTTAGAAATCTTTAGATCAATAGTTCACCCAAAAATAAAAATGTCAAAAGTTCTCCTGCTCACTCATTTATACAATGGTAGTGACTTGTAACTAACTTTTATGCTTCAAATAGGGCATAAAGTATTACATGCAAGTTAGGGGTGGAGGAGAAATTAAATTATGAATAGTATCTCCCAAAAATATAATAAGGATTGCAATGAAATACGTTTATAATACCTCTGTCCGTTTTTTGAAGTTAAAGCTAGTAGATCTACTGTCGTTGTATGGACAAGAGCAAGCAATTTGTGTTCTGCTGAAGAAAGCAAGTCAAAGTAATTTTCAGGTTAAAGGATTAGTTCACCTCAAAATGAAAACTTACCAATAATTTACTCACTCCAATGCCATCCATGATATCAATGTCTTTCTTTCCTCGGTGAAAGAGAAAACTAGTTTTTTGAGGAAAACATTTCTGTTTTTTACATTTTAAAAAGTGTATATATATATATATATATAGAAAATGACCTATTGTTTCGCTAGATAAGCCCCTCCTCCTCAGCTGGATTGTGCACAGCCGCTGAAGCACTTCAAAGATCTTTAATTTGGACTTCAAAACGTTGGATGCCATTGAAGTCTATTATTCAAAGAAAAATCTAGAAATGTTTTCCCCAAAAAACTTATTTTCTCTTCCACTGAGGAAAGACAGACATGGATATCTCTGATGGCATTGGAGTGAGTACATTATTAGGACATTTGCATTGAGCTGAACTTATCCTTTAATTATGGAAAGAGTAACTTGACATTTCTAGCTTTTTTTCAAAGTTCCATTTATTTATTTTTTTTGTCTTTGTAGAACATCAGACTGAAGTGCCACTGGAGAATGTGCTGATGTTTGCTACTGGCCTGACATCAGTTCCACCAGCTGGAATTACACCACAACCATGCATTGTGTTTCTTGCCAATTCACTGTTCCCAATGGCAAATACATGCTCAAACACACTTAAGTTACCACTCTTAGACACATAAAGTCATTTTCAGACTCGCATGGATTTTGGAATACAGAATTCTCCAGGTTTTGGATGTTTTTAAAGGGTTAGTTCATTAAGGGTTAACTAGGGTTAAATTATTTAAAAAGGAAATAATTCAAAACAGAATGTGACATTGCAAGAATTGTGAACTGAGAATATGGTACATGTAAATTGATCAAAATTCACTTAAAGTGTTAATTCACCCAAACGGATATTTCTGTCATTAATTACTCTCCCTCATGTTGTTCCAACCCTGTAAGACTTTCGTTCATCTTAAATCTGAGACCTGTCTCTCTCCTCCATAGGCTTCTATGATATTGAAACATACCGGCCCAGAAAGTAAAGATGACGATGTATAAAATAGTCCAAGTGGCTCAACCAAAGTTCACGTAGTGTAACAGAGCAGTGATTCTGTGTAGTACGCCAGAACGTAGGCTCACTATTGGCCGATGTTGGTTGTGTGTGACATGTGAGCCTACGTTCTAACGTACTACACAGAATCACTGCTTATCACTTGGACTATTTTATACATTGTCGTCTTTACTTTCTGGGCCGGTATGTTTCAATATCATAGAAGCCTATGGAGGAGAGAGACAGGTCTCAGATTTAATATGAACGAAAGTCTTACAGGGTTGGAACAACATGAGGGAGAGTAATTAATGACAGAAATATCCGTTTGGGTGAATTAACACTTTAAGTGAACTTTGATCAATTTACATGTACCATATTCTCAGTTCACAATTCTTGCAGCGTCACATTCTGTTTTGAATTGTTTCCTTTTTAAACAAGTTAACCCTAGGTTGTACTCTTTGGTTTCAACTGTCCTTTTTAAAACACTCATGTTCATAGACCTGCTGTTTCCTTCATTGTGAAGTAAAGTTGTAATGCTTCCTCCCAATTCTCTGGCCACTGTAACTGATTGTGTTCCATTACAAATTCTAGATATTCCTGGATGTTTTTATCACCACATAATTGTGTTGTCAGCCTTGACTCAGGAAAAGCACTTAACTCGCTGTCATCAACTGCAAAGCCACAGTCCCTTGATCCATACCTGAAAGTTCAATTGTTTGTAAATGTATTTAGTATACACGTTTATACAATGTGATTTTTGTAGTGGTGTATTTTAAACAAGCTTATTAAATCACTGTTATAAAATGCAATTTGTACAGATTTTTGATTTGCTGACCTGTGTGGTAGATGATAGAGTTCATTTGGTACCCCTCCAGGGCACATTGCAAGTCTAGAGGGCCTAATCCTGTGCTTATTCCAAAGTTCTACACATTCATCCAAGTCCGCCTGCAGAACATTTTGGAAGCAGAACTGAAGCAGGAACTGGTGTTCATTGCTGCCATTGAAGTGTCCTTCATTTCTAAGGTCCCCAAAGAGTTCTATCCAGAACTGAGCCCTAGAACACAAACGTCCACGTACATCAATGACATCAAATTTGTTCTAAAATCATTTTGTGTGTTATTATGATTTATTTTTAATTGAAATTTTACAATGTACTAGTTGCAATAGTATAACTAACGCATCACTTTACTGACGTTTCTTCAATGCTCAAGAACGAACACAAACCTTGCTTTCCTAAAGCTGGACCACCACGATTCAATGCGTTGATTGCTCATTGATGTGCCATACATGTGACTTCTCGAGCCAGCATAGTAGTCCGTGTGGTTATGGCGGAGACTGCACTGTATTGCTGCCATTGTCCCATTTTCTGTTCCACAGTCTGTTCGTAGTCTCATGGGTGCAACGCCAAGGCGTTGTACACAGGACGTGTAGTTGTGAGCAATAACCGCAGGGTCATTGTTAGTATGCCCACAAGTAAGCCAGAGGACACGTCTAGAAAAACCATCAATGCATCCGGATATGCCGAAACCAAATGGCTTTAGTTTATCGTACCCATCAACATGCCAAAGATAGTTCGGTCCCATGGAGTGATATGTACGCCTTACGAATCTACGACGTGTCCTCAGTTCTGTCCCTTGTGGGTTGAGTTCTTGCAGCAACCGCATAACATCATCACGTTTAACACGTAACTTGTGTTTCTGCAGAAGTGCTAACCACATTGTCCGATAGCCGAACAACTGTCCTGGTCCACGCAGCTCTGCTCTTATAGCATTCCTTACATCGTTTATAGGCGAATAGTTATTTCTTCTGTACATACCTGGATCCTTCAGGTGTGTTTTTAAAGAGCGCAAGCTCATTTTAATATCGTGGTATGTCGCCAGCATGTCCACAATCACGGCATATGAATGTCCTTCTTCAAAGTAGTGTTTAATGTATTCCATTTTCGAATTTAGCAAAACAAAGTTGATCACAAGTTTCTTACTTCCTGTAAGGCTTGATTGACCGGTGTCTCGTCCAATCAGCGATAAGTTTGCCATTCTCAAAATGTACCTACCTTTTCCGTTTTCTTTGAATTGTTATTGTGTTTTCTGAATTGTCGTTGTGTTTTCTGAATTGTTATTGTGTTTTCTGAATTGTCGTTGTGTTTTCTGAATTGTTATTGTGTTTTCTGAATTGTCGTTGTGTTTTCTAAATTGTTATTATGTTTTCTGAATTGTCGTTGTGTTTTTTGAATTGTTATTTTGTTTTTATAATTGTGATTTGTTTTGCACCTCTCGGCCACCGTAGCTGTTTTACTGCAGTTGCACTTCAATGTACTCTAGTCACATTGTATCTATACTGCAGTTATACAGTATACTTATACTTATACTTATATACTTATACTTCGTTAATACTGCAAATCTACTGTTGTACTGCAGTCACATTATATCTATACTGCAGTTATACTTCGTTAATACGGCAAATCTACAGTTGTACTGCAGTCACATTATATCTATACTGCAGTTATACTTTGTTAATACTGCAAATCTACAGTTGTACTGCAGTTTTACTTCACTATTCTGAAGTTCTACTTTTTGTACTGTGGTTTTACTGCAGTTGCACTTCAATGTACTACAGTCACATTGTATCTATACTGCAGTTATACTTCGTTAATACTGCAATTCTACAGTTGTACTTCATTGTACTGCAGTTATACTGCTTTGAACTGCAGTTTTACTGCAGTTGTACTTCATTGTACTGCAATTATTTTTCGTAAGGGGGAGCTGGAGTGGTTGGATCTCAGACTCTATTTTTTCAGACTGTGATTTTGCCGGACGTCTGCTTGCCTCTCACAGACCATGTGTGACAAATTTAAATGGAGCCTCGTTGTGAACTGACAACCCAGACAGACTGTATTGTAAGTAGAGTAAAGTACTTATTGTAAGTGTGTTGTAAATACTTTGTATTGTACATTAATTTATGCTCACTAAAGTTATAAATCAGTCTATAAATGAAAGTACTTTCCTTACAGCTCTGAAAACAGCCATAGTAAAGCCTATACACAAGTCAGGAGATAAGCTCCAGGGGCCTCGTTTATAAACATTGCGTACGCACAAAAGAAGGCGTACGCCGCTCTCTACGCAATAGTTGGTGTTTATACAAAGCAAACTTGACGGTAAAATGTGCGGTCCTTCACGCCAGCTCTGACCCAGGCGTACACACAAAAACGGGTGAAATGAGAAATGGTGACACTGACTCCTCAACTTTTAGTGGTAGAACAGGAAAGGAGACTTGAATTTCAGCCAACAGTTTTTGCAGAATTCGAACAGAATGGATACCAGTCTTTAAGGCCAGTTCTTCAGCAGTAATCCACTGGTCAATAGACCTCAGATGGCAAATCTTATGAACTCCTGCTCTCACCAAACTTGCGCGCACAGTCCGTGACTCCAAAATCGCACTGGGTATGTGAGAATTGAAAATTAAAGGTTCCTCAATACCCCAAAAATTCTGCGTTTCAGAAAACTCCCTTTTAACAGTAAAAATCTGCCATGCATTTAATACTGAGGCATAAAAAGATGGGAGCCCACTGAGATCCATCTCCTCTAAATTCATTAAAAAGAGATGTCTATCCAAATTCAACCTTCCCACTCGATTTAATAAAGCACACGCCACTGTTATCCAGCTCTGAGACTGATGATAAAGTAGTCTCTGCGCAGTTTGTAGTCTAAAAGCAGCCACTTTAGACTTAATAT